AGGAAGGAAGGAAGGAAGGAAGGAAGGAAGGAAGGAAGGAAGGAAGAACGAAATTCCATAGGCCATACCAGGAGACTGTACACAGATCACCAGAGACTCTCAATGTGGGGAGAAAGATCTTCCAGTCCATTCCTAATTCTATTCAAGGTAAAACTGAGACCTGCAAAAGGCCACTATTTTGATTCCTGTTCAAGGAAAACATTCCTGAATGTCTGCCAAGTGAAGTCTCAATTTGCAGAACTTGAGAAGGTGGGCGCCACCACAGTTTTGACTAAGTATATGCCAGGAAAATGTCCCAAATTCAACTGCCGATTTCATTCTGGTTGCTAAGCTATGCTTTTGTAATTTAAGTATTCCCATCAAAATGTCACGTCAAGTGGTATCTGAGATACAAAGGTAGACACATTTGATATGAAATACCAAAAATGCTGGTAATCTTCCACCTGCCTTGACATCTTGCACTTGAGAAGCCCAACCTAATACAAAGAATCAGATATCATGAGTGTGAAGACTGAGAAATCCTCCTATATCAGGGATGCAGAGTCCTCAGAGAATAGGGAAGGGAGGCAGAGTCTAGGAGAACTTGGTTCTTTTCCGTGTAAATCTTCCTAGAAGATAGTAATCGATGGAAAAATCAACAGGTGAACAGATCCCACTTCCAGAGATTTCTAACTCTGTAATGAAGTTTGGAATTACTCATGCTCAACCAGAGCATGCAGGACACATCTGTGAGCATTTGAGAAAACAAAGCTATCCCTGCTTTGGTTGGATCTTTCTTTTTCAACAGCTCAACTCCTCTCACACGAGAATCTCACAGAAGGTTCCTCCGGCTGCTGGGGAGTCTTCTAGTTCACTGTGACATTCCTGGATGGCTCCCGCGTGTCCTTGGCATGGCCATGTATTTCTCAATATGGAGGTGACCGGGGTGAACAGAACAGATGACTGAGACATCCGCACAAAGACTGTTGTCAACACCAAAGACACTCCTGCTGGAGGTGCTGCTTAGTACTTTGGGTGGAATGTTTTATGTCCAACCTATCCTGGTAGCAGGTAGCATCACAAAGTGAGGACTGAGCTTGGCACAGGAATAGTGGGGTGTGCCACAAGGTGACTTTGTATGTCAATTAATGTCCCCTCATAAATAGGTGGCCACATGGAGTGCCTTTCTTTGGCAAAGGCCTCAAATGGCAGTAAATAAAGGTCCTGCTGATCTCCCATTGCCAAGGCTTTACCACACCCCAACTCCCACCCAGAGAAGACCCACAGGGGTCATCTGCCAGTCAGGTGCCTTCAAGTTGTTTTGGATTGGTACACTTGGACCCAAGGCATCTTATGAAGGGAAATGCACGGCTTCAAAGGACTCAGAAAAGTGGAAATGACTCCAAGTCACGAGTTTTCCTTCCCTGACAGCTGGTCAGAAGCATAGGCATCTGGCCATGTCTCCATTTCCCAGATCAGTAATTACCAATTTAGTTCCAAAGAAGATTTAGAGAAAAGAAACAATTATGGCAGCAGAGATGAGAGAGTTTGTTTTCCTCATTAAAACATGATTAATTAACTTGAAATCTGAGTAAGTGTGTGTGACCATGGCCAGCTTGGTGACAGAATGTCAAGACAGCATGCAGCCCAGCACCTGTTCTGCCTCATCGTACAGGCCAGGGCAATCATGGGAATCAAGCTGCCTGAACCCTACCCAAACTCAAAACACTGGCCAAGCTGCACAAGTGGCACCTTTCCCTGCATGCCAAAGGTACTAAATTTCATTAGTATGCCATCTTACTATACCTAGATGGGCAAAGATCTTCCTGGCAAGGCCTAGTGTGATGTGTGATCTGTGTGTGGCTACTCATTCCTGGGGAGCCTGAGACCTACTCAAGGTCCTGCAGTATAGTTAGGTGCAGAAGAAGGCTGAGTGACTCTCTCATCAGGCTCAAGTCTTCTTCTGCTAGGATACTGAAAACCGTCTCACTTGTTCTAGACTAGGCAGTAGTCTAGCACCGAATACCCTTTAATATGGTCAATACCAAAAGTTTCCTCTAGGCAAGAGAGCAAGCAACTAAATGCACTCATTTTTCCTGAGGTTGAAGAGAAGATAGTAACTAACCATGGCTTGCCTATTTGTTTTTCTTTGTTTGGGTTATTTTTTGTTTTGGTGGTACACTGGGCAGTTTGGCATAATCAGTCTCATAAAGCCTGAAGCCCAATGCACTGTTTTGGTTCACAATGAGGTGTTTTTATTATCATTTTTCTCTGAAGTAGAAAAGACCTGAAAACTTGGAAATCAAGAGTAATCAAGATACAGCGAGTCTGGAAGGCATTCAGATGCACAGCCGAGGTTCCAGACTAACGGACAGAGAAGCCAACTGGAAATATCCCTCTTGGAAGAGCTGAGTTCAAGACTGCTGGAGTTCAGATGAGGCACTTCATTTCCAGCGATGTCTAACTAGTGAGGACTCATCGTTAACCACCTCAGGGTCTTGGGGGGCATGTCGGCAGTGCAGTGGGAGTAGCAACAGGAGGATCAGAACCAGGAGAATGGCTCCGCACACACTCATCAGGGCATAAGACACAATCCACAAGATGGGCTCATTCAGAGCCTGTGCTGGAACACAGTTGCTGGCTATGTCTTCCGTGGAAAAGGGCCCCGAAATTTCAGACACTGTGGTACCTGCAATCTCTGAGGAGACAGAAGGAGAAAGGTCACAGCTGTGAGTCAAGAAGCCTCCACTAGCATTGGACACAGAGCTCATGGCTGGTTACACTGGGGCCCTAATTGCTCAGATGCTGAGTGTGCACTTAGGGATAGCTCAGGAGCAGCATGCTCTCACGAGTGAAGATGAAGGAAGAGTAGAAAGAGGGGCAGTTTGCTATTCAGAAAGCTCAGCGGAAGCTGCCTGGGATGGGTAAAAGAAGGTTTGTTTGTTTTTTTTTTTTTTTTTTTGGCAAAGCTAATTTGACCCCATGTAACACTTAGTCTTTTAAATATTTTGTTTGTTTGGTTTTCTTGCAACAAGATCTCACTCTATAGCCTGGGCTGGCCTAGAACTTGCTATGTAGCCCAGGCTACCTTTGAACTTATGACAGTCCTCCTGCTTCAGCTTCTTGAGTGCTGGGATTACATTTGAGCTACTACATGTAGCCCAAGTCACTCTTAGTGGTTCCAAGATTATCCTAGCCACACTGGCTTGGGAGGGTCTACTTCACCTCATCCTATGTAGAATCTGAAAGACCATAAAGCAAAAGTGATGAGTTAACAAACATATGACTTGTGTTATAAATGGTGACATAGAAACACAGGATGCCATATTGGTTTCTGCTCAAGACGCCAGTGTTGGAATAAGGTCCGTGAATGAAGCTGGGTGAGATTTCTGAGAGCTTGTGCGAAAACTCCAAGTAAACCAGAGTCTTGTAGTCTCTATTCCTCCACAGCATGGTTGTTCTTGGAATGAGCCTTTGAGCCCCTACCAAGTGTGAATCAGAGTGAGTTTTACTTCAGATCACCTATCATCTTACCCACTATCACTTAGAATGATGCATTACTGACTGTGTATAGCCTACATTCATGTGATCTTGCTCTTGTGACTGCATATAACTGGGCTTGCCTCTCCTTCCAGGTCTATAGCAGCCAAAGGCTTTACTTGTGTGCAGGGGACAGTGGATTAGAAAGGTCTCCTGACCACTCTCTTAGTCCCAGAATACTACACCACCAAACATTTTCTGTTGTCTTGATTCAAGCCTCAGGATCTCTAGTCTTGTCAAATATGATCTTTTTCACTTGGGGAAGAAAACAAAGTCAAAATGACAGTAGGATGATAGTCTTTAAAGAATACCTTTAAAGGAGGAAGAAATGATTTGTTTCCTTTGCAAAGGCCATACCCTTTCTGGCCTGTGTAAATTCCATGATAAGTGTTTGTTTTTTAGTTAGTTTTTTTTTTTTGCACTTGAGGGTGAAAAAAACCAAAAACCAAAACCAAAACCAAAACCAAAACCAAAACCAAAACCAAAACCAAAACCAAAACCAAAACCAAAACCAAAACCAAAACCAAAACCAAAACCAAAACCAAACTAACTGAACCAGCCAGTGAACATGGCCTGCCAACACCCAAGCATGGTGAGATACAGCCTCAACTGACCCACACCCTCAGAAGTCCCCAGTGGGAGGGAAGGAAAGGGATGTTAGCACACAACACCCGGGGGGCAAAGCCCATTGACCACTTCCTTGTGAAGGTTGATGTCTCCTGACACACAGTCATGTCACTGTCCATCCTGGGTTTTCGTGGTTGGGTTATGGTACTGGAATGGTGACTTGGTCCCTCTAGTATGTAGAAGCTGAAACATTTCCTGTCTGCTCATTTATGGAAAAGTGCCAAGCTCTGCCCTATCATTTCCAAAGACAAATGACTCCATTCCAAATCAGGAAGGTAATGCATATTTACAATAGAAACCTTGCAAATAGAGGGAAGGGAAACAGTCATAGAGACACCAGTCAGGACAATACTAATATTCTTGCGTGTAACGTTTTTCTATGATAAAATCATTATCATTAAATCTTAAGTCCAGCTGGGCAGTGGTGGCGCACGCCTTTAATCCCAGCACTTGGGAGGCAAAGGCGGGCGGATTTCTGAGTTTGAGGCCAGCCTGGTCTACAGAGTGAGTTCCAGGACAGCCAGGGCTACACAGAGAAACCCTGTCTCGAAAAACCAAAACCAAACAAACAAAAAACAAAAAACAAAAAAACTTAAGTCCAGCTATTTTGATGATTACACAAAAAGCCATATTATGGACATATCAATTGATGTTTAATTTTGATTTTCAATTATATTACTTCTGAGTGGGAGAATTACCAAAAGATGGAGATAACAGGTCAGTGGTAGTACACTTGTTGAGCATGCAGGAGGCCCTGAGTTCAATCCTCAGGATTGCAGAGAGAAAGAAAGGAAAACTTTACTGGCCATTTGTATTTTCATTTCTCTGTTCTCACGGATGTATACTAATCTTTCAGATAGTAAAATTTTTCTTATGTTATGAATGTTTCTGTGAAGCAGGTCGTTTGCCTTTCTTCAAATTTACTTTGTAAATGAGATGTGTCAGCCAGTACACAGATGAAAGTAAGCCTGCGCAGTGCACAGATGGCAATGCAGGAAGGCAGGATGAAATCCAAAATCACTTGAAACCACTTTTGCTTCCAGCTTAGCCAAGATAGAGTCACAGGGGCCAGCCTGATCTCCCACTTGAAACAAACATGACACTGGGTGAAATGATGCTAAAGGAAAAATAAAGCAAGAGTGTCCTGGCACAGTTGTACACCTCTAGGCTGTGGGCTAGAGAGAGAGGCATACACCAGGTTGCTTCCATCACAAGCAACAGGCAGAAGTCCAGGGGAACAATGGCTATAGCATTTGCAGCATAGGCTCATGTTGAGGAGACACCAGAGGGTCAAGGCTTCCTGGAGCCTCCAGCAGATAGTCTAGCCAGTTCTTCAAACCCAGGGGTCCTGTATCCATATCTAACAAACCCTAGACCATTTTAGAAGAATAATGACATCTCTACTGAAAACGTGCAGACTTTTCTCTTGTCACTATTTCCTGAACAACACAGTGTTACACTGAGAGGTATGACATCATCTGGAGATTATCAAGTGCAGGTGGTACATGGACCTGACACTGAATAAAGTATGACATCATCTAGAGATGATACTCAGATTCTGTGGAGACACTGTGCCATCTCACAGAAGGGATCTGACACTGAGTGTGATGTCATCTAGATATGATGCTCAAATTCTGTGGAGACACTGGGCCATCTTAGAATGGAGCTGATACTGTTAGTCTTGGTATCATCTAGAGATGATGTAGGCACTGGACAGTCCTTGGAGTTGGTGCAGACAGCAGGCTATCTTATAGAAGAGGCTTATGCATCCCTGAGCATCTTTGGATCTTGGTGTCTCAAGGTTCCTGGACACATAGACACTTCCATTCCCAATGAAGGACTGAGAAGGGCATGGTCAGGTACAGTGGAAGAATTAGGGTAGGTTCATTCCTTGGGTTCTGAAGAATGTTAGCTCATATCAGAGAAGCTCTATCCCAAAGGCTGGGAGATGTCTTGTGTTGGATATTAGGCTTCCATAGAGGAGTCTTGGAAGTGTGGTGGTTTGAATAAGCTTGGCTCAGGAAGTGGTACTATTTGGAGGTGTGAATTTTTTGGAGTTGGTATGGCCTTGTTGGAGGATGTGTTTTACTGGGGGTGTGAGCTTTAAGACCCTCATCCTAGCTGCCTGGAAGCCAGATTTCTCCAAGAAGCCTTCAGATGAAGATGTACAACTCTCAGCTCCTCTTGCACCATGCCTGCCTGGATGCGGCCATGCTTCCTCCTTGATGATAATGGACTGAATCTCTGAACCTATAAGCCAGTCCCAACTAAAAGTTGTCTTGATAAGAGTTGCCTTGGCCATGGTTTCCCTTCACAGCAATGGAACCCTAACTAAGACAGGATGATAAGCATTCAGTCTATATAGAGCAGAGTACAGCAAGAAGATAGAATGCACAATTTATAGTTCACATAGAGAAGTAGGGAAAGCAGTGAATAGGGAAGAATTTTATTCAATAATGCCACAGATGAGTTCAGTTGCACACAAGATATTATGGCTGTGATTATCACCATGCTCTAATGAGGAAGTCAGAAGAATACTTAACACAATAGAGATACAGAAGATATTAGAAGACCTAAATGAAACTTCTTGGTACAATACAGAACATGAAAAACACATCGGAGTTATTAATGGTACATGTGCTATAGACAAAGAGCATGAGGGTAGAGGAGATGGCTCAGCAGTTAAGACCACTGGCTGTTCTTGAAGACAACCTTGGTTCAATTTCCAGTGTCCACATAGCACCTCAAAATCATTTGTAATTCTAGTTCCAGGGGACCCAACACCCTCTTTTTGGCCTCTGTGGGCAGTGCATACCTCTGTGTGTGTATATATATATGTATGTGTATATGTATGTATATGTATGCAAATAAAACACTCCTATATAAAAATAAATAAATCTTTTTAAAGGACCAATCAAATTAAATATATCACAATAGAACTATGTGAACTGACACACACAGTGAATACTGAGCACCAAATAGAGATCCTCAGTGTATATGGATTATCTCACACTGCTTAGTCATGTTAAAGGGCCAAAGAAAAGAGAAGGGCAGGAGACCAAGAAGAAACAGTAACTAAAAATTCTCAGAACTTAATGTGAACTACATATAAATTCATAGATTGCAGAGATATGTATATGTACACACACACACACACACACTTCCATCCCCAATGAAGGACTGAGAAGGGCATGGTCAGGTACAGTGGAAGAATTAGGGTAGGGTTGGATTCATTCACAATGTATGGATATGTGAGAATATCATACTGACTCACTAATGTGAACAATTAATTAATACATGCTAGTAACAATTCTAGAAAGGACAACACATGGAGTGTTTGGGAATCAGCCACGCTAGGACAGGGAACCAACCCCAGAAATCTTCCTCACATTGAATGCCTTATATTTGTCTGTGTTTTTCATATATGTGTTATGTCAAAAAATCCAAAAAACAAAAAAACCCCAAACGCCCCCAAAACAACAATAACAACAACAACAAAACCCCCCAAAACAAACTCAATAAAATCATTGA